ACATATTTATCTAACTAACCAGTATAACCAAAAAAATTTACATACAATAAGTAAGATTCTAAAGTATTTCCGGATAAATTACTGAGAAAATAAAGCCAAAGAACCCCCATACTAAAATGCCTTCAGATATTGCATCACTTGATAGTTGGTTCAAATACTAAAAAGATCAATTCATTAAATTCGACCCCAAATTATCAATTAAAAGTGAGTTATTCTTCGTTAGCCATAGCCCTGAGGAACTATCGAAGAAAAAATCTTAATTAAGCTGTCTCTTAAAATGTGTTACATCAACCGATGACTTTCTTAATGCATACCGCTAAAATGAAATCAATCTTATACATTTTTGAACCTAAAAATTAAAATCCCTATTATGAACCTAACGAAACATAAATTATATGAATAATATCCATTATAAAAAAATAGCGTCTTAAGCATAATATTAACCCGAAAATAGACCCAGACAAAACAGACTTAACATGCAGTTTCTCCCGATGAGGCATTCTCTTTAGATTACGAGATAATGCGAAAGTGATAAAGTTTATCAAATAGAGTTTATATCGTTGTAATAATTATGTCAGTTATTATAGTACTCTGTTGATGATCACTGGAATTTTAACGCCACAACGCAATAAATAGCATTTGAACATATGAACTAGAATAGACGCTTTATTATTGAATTAAGTTAATTTTCATGTCACAAGATCAACTAGGATGATCGGACTCGGACGGTTATTCTTGATTGACGAAAGAGCATGCCTGTTAAGTTTCAGAATAAGACCTAGAATCTCGTTAGTCTCCCTTAATCCGATAATGTTGTGAAATCGTTGTATCATGAAATGGATCATAACTCAGAATAAATTCAACTATTGCGTTTTAACTACCTGATAAAAGTCGTTGCAAACAATGCAGATAACCTTAACTAAAACTATTAGTAGAGGCATCAGCCAGTAATGTTAAACATGCGAGGGGTCCAAATGAGCCTCATAATTAGCTTCAAAATAAGCCTATTCATAGTAGACAGACCAGTTGAACCTTCATCACCTTACAAATATAGCTAGAGTAAAATAATCAAGTAAAGGGCATTTAACATAATTGCGTGATTTGTTGAGTAAATGGGTTATACTTATTTTGGGTACAGTATGACTGATTTTTAAACTTGTTTCTGGGATGCAGTGAGCTTAAAGAGAAGTATACCATAATGGATAGACTTGCCAAATGGAGGGCAAACTTATAGAATGTATTACAGAGGCCACACGATATATGAATTATTATCGATATGGATATGCAATGGAAAATAAGTTAAGTAAATTAAAGTGCCAGACATAAATGCAATACCTAGGTTAGCGTGAATGGCTAGAGGCAATGAGTTGTCAATATAGGATCGCTTGTTGTCTCCAGCAACAGAAGAAGGTATACAGACACCTGGCTCCGAAGCCGGCCGACTTGATGTAGTTCCAGAGCTGGCTGTAGCTTCTGTGAGTAAACAAGAAGTAGAGCCAAGATCTGGCAGGCCTCGAGTAAAAGTTCTTGCTGGCTGATATGTAGGAGATGTGCAAATCGTGGTGGATTCAGTCTGAGAAGTCGTTTTACCTTTGAGCAAATTAAACAAAGAAGCTGAAGAGGCAGAGCTGGGGCGTTTGGGGTGATCGATACGATCTAAGTCCCGAGCAGACACAGCTCGGGTCGAGATAGTTTGAGCAATAGAAGAAATTGTCGGCTGGAGAAAAGGTTATGATGAATGGGGTAACGTAATAAGATAAAAGTTTATTTCTAATTAAATTACGATAAATAATGAAGTATTATGAAATTAAAAAATCAATAGCATTGATTTGGCAATTATTTAATATCCGTGAACTGCCTAGTAAGCATAGTGCTGCCTTTGGGTTGATAATTGAGATCGGAATTATGGTGGAAATGGATGGACTTAGATAATGATTAAAGGAATACTATAATATAATTCGAAGAACCCACAAATTGTGAAGAATTCCATAAGAGTTTAATGTCATTGAGTATCGCAGTTAGTATAACAAGTTGGGCACAAAAGCCTCATATGTTAGTTTAAATGGAGCATGATGGGGTGATGTTGATGGTAGATATGAGCGTATTAATTCTTACTGCGCTCTCATTAAACCCATAAATATGAGTAGGCTACATGTTTTATTGATATTCACATAGCCATGCCTCCAAAAAGTGTTTTCTTTTGGGGTGGACTACCGTTTCGACCTGGCCTAGGTCTCATCAGCACCCATAGCGGGATTTTGGCCAGGTACTACATCGAGTTTCCTTAGTTAGGCAAACGCGAATTCTAAAGAAGGCCAGGCCTTTACCATATATTTTTAGATATTCATGTAGTCTTGAATCTACTTATAAACAAAAGTAAATCATAATAGCTGTACAACATTGAAATAACTTAGAGGAAATGAGATAAAGGATGACAACTAGCACAATATTTATACAATATTAAAAAACTTGGTTAAAATAAGTAATTATATCTTTATTGCGCATAATTTACCCGAGATACATAAAGAAGTCCCATATTATAAATAATATTAACAAGGGTTGTGTAATGAATGAAACATCACAATTTATTTGTCACCGAATAATATAAATATCTGAGATCTGGATATTTTCAAAAAGTAACTTATGGACGAGCAGATGATAGGAGCAAAATTTA